CAAAAATAAATAGCGGCGCCCATCACGGTAGCTGGTGCGATCACGCGTTTTGTGGAATTCCGCCCGGCAGAAGTTTGTCTGCTAAGGACCTTCACTGCTTTACACTTTCGTGTGTGGAAAAATAGTCGATATGCTGTCTGGCTTCTAAGCTGATGAATTTTTCACCGAAAATTAGAAATGCCTATATATGGGAAGAGGATTTTGCAACTTTGGACGAGGAACACCGTCCCAAATTTCAACCTCTCAGTTTTCCGGCTTCCAAGCTAGTGACTTTCACATTAAAACTTTGACATGGTCGTACATAAGACCTTAGCATGCTTGGGAGGTAAATATGAGTTTGTGAGTTGCCTGCATAGGCAAAAAACATCCTCCTGAAATTTTAGCCTCACATCTCTTCTGGTTCTCGAGATAATAATTTTCCTCGCCAAAACTTTCACGAAGCTATATGTGTTATCTGCGGACACGGTAAGGCTGAATTTAAGTTTTCTGGATCGTACGTGAGCAGGGAACAATATTCTAAAATTTCAGCCGTCTAGCTTTTGTGGTTCCGGAGTTGAAAGTGCGGAAAAAAACGCACATGCACACACACACACACACACACACACACAAACAAACATACACACATACCTATATATATACACACAAAAACACACAGACAGCTCTGTGAAAATATGCGTTTTTTACCGCTATTTTAAATTTTCTGGATCGTACGTGAGCAGGGAATAATATCCTAAAATTTCAGCCGCTTAGCTTTTGTGGTTCCGGACTTGAAAATGTGGGAAAAACGCACGCACACGCACACACGCACGCACGCACACACACATACACACAACTCTGTGACAATATGTTTTGTACTGCTGTTACACGGCGCAAAAAGCATAACAAGAATGTAATGCGTGCTCAGCAGGTACGTATCGATGTGAGAAACACACAGGGACGAGAAAAAACATGAAACATAGTTAACGATACATGAGGTTTGCCAGTGCGAAAATGCGTTTTTTCGCATGATTTTCCACGCAGATTTCTACCACTAAGTAGCACAGTTTCTTCGACAAGCATTTCTAGCTAAAAGAATTGACAGCAACTCACATGAATCACAAGGATTCCGAGAAAACATCACTGTGGGCCCCGAGTTATGAACTTAAGCGAAAAAAATTTTGGCAGGCCTTTACGCGGTTATCACGCTTTCCCAGGGGACGGGTTTGAGTGCATTAACACCTACTTTGGCGAGAAACATCATATTATGATTTCAGCGTTCTAGCTTCTCAGATCCCCGAGTTATGAACTTACACCAAAAAAAAAAAAATTTGCTCAGAAAATTTCACCAATCTAGCTGTTCTAGTTCCAAAGTTACAGAACTGTTTGCTGTAAATCCTACATTGCCCGTACGTGACATGTGAAAAGGCACGCGAAAGAACAGTTCAATTTCACGAGCGCACAAATGGACACAGCAAACGTTATCGTCATGAAATTATGACTTTCACTAAATTTTTAAAGTTTAATTCCAGTATTGGCATGGTGCCAAGAAAATGAAAACTTTGACGTGCATGTACGTGAGACTTGAGACGGTACGTGAAGGCTGAGTTTAAATTCTTTGGTTTAGACGTAGGCTTTCTAAAGTTTAATTCCGGCATTGGCATGGTGCCAAAAAATGAAGACTCTGACGTGTATGCACGTAAGGCCTGAGCGGCACGTGAAGGCTGAATTTAAATTCTTTGGATTAGATGTAGGCTTTCTAAAGTTTAATTTCATTATTGGCATGGT